TACTACTGTTACTATTACTATTGTTATTACTATTACTATTACTATTACTACTACTACTACTACTACTACTACTACACTATTACTACTACTACTACTACTACTACTACTACTACTACTGCTACTATTACTGCTTCTACTACTATTACTACTACTACTACTACAATAACAACAACAACTACTACTACTACAACTACTACTATTACTACTACTACTACTACTACTACTACTACTATCACCACGACGACGGCTCCAGCATTGCTTTGCCAATACCTGCCTCACCAGCGCTCGCGACAAAGCAGATCAACACTGAATCGGTAATGGCCATAACCACTACAACAACAAATAAACCGCAGCAAAGATGGCTTATGCAAAATGATCCGTCCTTCCATTTCAGGCCCTCTCCTGCCTGTACGCGTTCTTTCCGCGAAGGTCTGACATCCCCAAGCTCCTGTACACGGCTCAAGTCGCGGCTCTGCTGACCAATTGGAAGAACTACTGTTTGGTCGGGAGGATAAGTACCCCACAATCCCTAGAGCCTTTCCAGAGCGTGCGTATGTTCCCTGAAAGTTCGGAGTTCGAACCGTGGTCCATGCTTCTTAGGCAGTATTAGGGAGACCCCCTTAAAGGGGACCCTTCTTGACCCCAGTTTTGGCTCTCTTAAATACTATATCCCCAAGGGTTCCCCTCATCCCAACTCCTAGTGTCTTGAGGTTCTGGCTCCAGGCTTGGGATTTGGGGTCTTGGGGTGTAGGGCTGGGGGCTCCTCAAGTCGACAATGTTTGGTGCCTTTTTATGTTGTCGTGTGGGTTTGGCGTCTTGATCCTAAACCTAAACCCGCTTTTTGGTATGACTTTGGCCTGCAACATCGACATCTGAACAAGTGGCAGGAGTCCGAGCCAAGTTCCAGTTTCTCATGCTTATACACTTGACCCCAAAACTCCTCAGAAGCCGACCTCTGCCGTTGCGCATCACGGTTGGGGTTTGGATTAGAAGCAGCGCAGAAGCAAAACATGTCGACGTCGACGTCGATAGCGACACATTTGTGCAGAGGAAACCTTTCACACTAAGCAAGCACCATATAATAGGCCCCAAAACCCTGCTGTAATCCAGGCGCCCCCCACATTACCCCATCAATAGCTTTGGTGCTGCATCCTCCTTGTGTCGGTATTCCCGTATGAGGGTTTAGGGTTTTGGGAAGTGCCCACCGCGAGTTGGCACGTCTGTACTTCTCAACTCAGCACGTGGCAAGCTTGATGCCACCTCGCGCCTTGTGTGTTGCCGGCCGCTGTGTGGTCAAAGAGCTGGGATGACCGCTTTGTGCTGCGAGACTGGCCGAGGTTGCATGTGCCTTGAAGTCCCGAAGTGCACCATCGAGTTAGCTGATCGGTTGATCATGGCTTGGCTTTGGGATGTTGTGGACAAGTGCTATCTGCGAACTGCAGGCAGAGCAGGCAAAACAGGCTCTGGCACCGCTGTAGCCGGCGAGCTTCCAAGGAACAGGTGGTTGAGGAGGGTCATCAGCATCAGTTGGCAAGCCTCTCTAAATGGGCACTCAGCTTTTGCAGGGTCCTTTCGGAGTCCCTAAACCCGAACCCTAAACCCTAAACCGTTCAAAACAGATCCGGTTTGAGTATGTCAAGCCCAGGCGGGTGAGACCGACCTCGAAGTATCCTCCATGACGTTGATTGCCACACTGCCGCGCAAGGCATTGCAGGAGACAGCGCTCCCCGTCACGTAAAGTCCGAGTTTCGGGAGAGTTGGAGCCTGTTGGATTGAGAAGCCCTGCTGCCAAGTTAGTCATTTTGGTGTAGGGGCCTGAATAGTTGCCAATACTTTGATAATTACCAATACTATGGCTCCTTATTCTAAGTCATTATAGTCAAGCCACGACATCCCAGTCGCAGTGGCCGGGCCCAAGGGGGAGCGGCCTCCTGGGCTAAAGGAGTGCCAAGCTTAGGGAAGCTTCACGAGTTCTCCCTATGGTTCCTATAGAGGTGTCTGTTTATGAATACCTTCAGGGCCCCATGAACAGGGCAGAGCATGATCGCGACGGTCACAAGAAAGACTCCTCTTATTCTAGTTCTGCTCCGGCGAGAGTGAGCATGGATATGTCTTTGCAGAAGGTTTGCGAACCGACATCGAGGTCTGGGACATCACTGACCAGACCCTAGGCACCCTGCCCTCAACCGCACAAGAAGGTGCTCAAAAGAAGTCCTCAACCCCAAATCAAACAGCGTCGGGCTTCCAGGCTCCAGCCATTGAGCGTTGTCATTCGCATACAGCACTTTGACCATGAGGGTTCGACAATCGTGACATCGTTAGCCTTGCTACAAGTAGTTGATGGTTCGAGCAGCCTGCAGCATACCTGCTGGGCATAGTTCTGGTTCAACTTATCTCCAGGTCCCCAGTTTCTTCATGGGCCACCGAGGGTTTAGGGTTTCGGGCTTGTAGCAAATCTTTCCAAAAGCTCTCGGCCCTTCCCCAAAGCAAGCACACATTCTCGAGTTCTAAGGTGATCCAGCCAACCCACATCTTAACACATATTCTCGAAGTAAGCGCCCAAGTTCCCTAAACCCCAAACCCAAGTTGCTTGTCCGAGCGTGAGAGCCGAAATCCAAGTTGCTAGGGTTGCAAGCATATCTGCCAGAAGGAGCTTTTGCTCGCGCGCCTCAGCGTGAGCATCCGGACAGAGGCGATGCTGCCAGTCTCAGGCTCCTCCATGTACTATATACTATATAATACATACTATATGATATATACTATAGACTATATAATACATAGATTTTCGAGGTAGGCTTGGGTTTTACTCAGAGAGCATCGTGTGACTTTTGATTATTCATGTTGGTCCTGGTTGAGAGTTTATGGCCTGGCGAAGTCGACAAGCCAAGGGGGAATTGAGGTCAGCGAATCTGAAGCGTTGCACGGCCTTGGGAAAGCCCCAAAGAGTCAACTCCCTTAAGTACGACTTTCGAGACATCAAAGTTTTGGGGGCCTTTACTGCCTAAAGCTTACCCGGGTGTCAGGGTACAGGACAGGGGGTTGAAGGTTTTCAGTGTAGGGGCTGACTGCCCTTTTTGCAGAAAACGGAATGTTCCAAGCCTCGAGCTTGAGGACCTTTTTGTTCGAAGAAAGACCATGGCTTGGGCTCACGCAACTTACATAGATTGGGGTGTGCCTGTCGTGGAAACCTGCAGGAGTCGCAGAATTTTGTTGCTCTGGCGCATTGCCGGCCATCTTGTTGCGGATGTCCTAAGTGCAGTATGGTATTGCTAGACTGGGCAGTTGCATACGGACGGGTTGCCATCATTTCTCTGCCATGTGGTCGCCAAATCAAGAGTAGGAGCATGACGTTTTGGTGCTAGATTTGCGCATTAACCTGCAAGAACAAGGGAACCCTCTAGTGATACTCGGTAGCCAACCTGTACCGACAAAAATAGAATGTAATATAATATAACAGAATCGAGTAAGAAAATCTAATATATTCTTATGTAATCTGTTCTAATCTAATTTTATATAATTTAACATAATCTAACATAAAATAATATACTCTACCACAATTTAAAACAATCTATCATATTCGAATATAGTCTAGTATAATCTATCACAATCTAATATAACATCATATAACATCATATAACATCATATAATATCGTATAATATCGTATAATATCATATAACAGCTCATAATATAACATAATGTAATCTAATATTATACCATCCATATAATGTGTATATATATATATATAATATATAGATCATTGTAGTTGGGTAGTTCTAGAATATGCGGACATACTTATACATATACATGCGTATATACCACCACCCCCAACAAAAACAAAACAATATACAAATAATAATATACGCCACGCCCCCTCAATGCCGAATCCAACTTGCATGCCCAATCCGCTCTTGAAGGCTTTCATGCTGAACTCCAAGCTTTGAACATCAATGTGTGCGTCACTGCAGAGGCCCTAATCAAAACCCGGTGCCACAGCTAAAATCTTACAGGGCCCCAGAACCAAGTCCACGGCACGGCAAGCTTGTCAGGTGAGCGGACGCACCCCCGAAGCTGTGGAAGCATTGGCACTTGAGGGTTCAGCGTTTCGGTCGAGATGTTGGGCTCGGAACCGCGACCAAGTCCTGTCTTGATCCATGCACCATATGAATTCCCTTCCCAGCCCCAGCTTGCAAGTTCGACATCAAGTGTTTCGGTCGTAGAGCGGTCATTAGAGTTGAAGAACTGCTCAAGAAAGCCTTACCATACACGGATAGCCTTCCTTGGCAAGCTGCTAGCCCAAGCCTCTTGCGCTGCAGCACCATACGCTAACTTCGAAGCATCCTTGGAAGTATCTAGTACGGTTTACCTTATTACTATTTCTATCAATTGTTGTATCCTTATACTAGGGTTGAGGTTGAGGCTTCCTAACTGCAGCTCCTTGACATTGTCAATGCCCGCACTTCGCAGACGCACGCACGCCAATTCGGGTGAAGGCAAGTAAGGGTCAGTTCCGGGAAACCAGGAAATCCCTTGGTGGCACTCTGGGAAACCTTTAAAATTTTCCTTATGGTTCCTATAGAGGTACCTATTCATAAACACTTTGAAGGACCCCCAAAACTACCCATAGGCCCCATAGTAGTTCTTTTTTGGGGTATTTACAATCCATTAAGGTAGTCCCAAAAAGGAACTACTATGGGGCCTATACGGTTTAGGGTTTAGGGTTTAGGGTTTTAGGGTTTAGGGTTTAGGGTTTAGGGTTGGGTATAACCCAGATCCTTCTTGCAGTCAGCTCTGAGTAGGTCTGACTGGCGACCTGACAGTCGGGAACCCGAAGCTGCAAATATTCCTTGAGCCATACATCCTTGAACCCTCACATGTAATTATAGTGGTCTAGATATTTACCAATACTATCCTGTGGCTTCCTTACTATAGCTGTTGTAGCATAATATACCCCAAAACCCTATTCTAATTATGAAGGCCCCTACATAGAACCCTATTACAGATCCCTGTCAGGAGCCCTTTAAAGGAGCCCTATTCTGATTGTTAAGGCCCCTATAAAACCCTAAACCCTAAACCCTAAACCCTAAACCCCTCCCCATACCCAGGTCTCATGGCTTTTCGAGAGTCGCAGTTCGAGAGGCCCCTCAGGGCTTCCAGGAATGGAACGTTCCTTGCTGGCCCAAGCCCGGTTCAGGGTTTAGGGTTTAGGGTTTAGGGTTTAGGGTTTAGGGTTTAGGGTTTAGGGTTCAGGGTTTAGGGTTTAGGGTTTAGGGAGCAATGAGCCACGGTCATGCGGGAGTTTCCGAAAATAAGGGGCACCTGATTTTGGGGTGCTTATAGTAAGGATCCGGCTAGTTAGGATACTATATTAGGGTCCTCTCTTTTCGGAAACCCCCATGTCGATCCAAGAACCCTCGGGGTGCGCCCCTGAACTCTGGACAGGTGCAGCGCGCAAAACGGCAACGAGCTCGTTTGGCTTGTCGCGAAGCTGACGGCCTCCTGGCTAGGATTGGGCGGCTGCAGCCACGATCACGATAAATAACAGTAACCACTTAGAAAACCCGAGAAGCACTGCATCAACTTCAAACAAGCCCCTATAATCATTTTGCCAAACACACTGAGGCCTATTGGGTCTTGGACTTCATCGCGCTGCTGATGTCTGCCATCGTCGCCATTATGGACCCTAAAGCCCTAAACCCTGAACCCCTAAACCCTAAACCCTAAGTCTTGGTGTTGGGTCAGGAATCAGGTCACTATCCCAGGGCCCTCGAGCTCCGAAGACCCGTCTTGGTAGTGCTTCAACATCTAATTAATATTAGTTCTTACTATATATGTATATATGTATATATTTATAATTTATAATATAAGAAATATGCCCAGAACCCTGACCGCCCTCCCTAAATCCCAAACCCTAAACCCTAAACCCTTAAACCTTAACCCTAA